CCCCAAAACCCCAAAACCCCAAAACCCCAAAACCCCAAAACCCCAAAACCCCTCACAGTTCTGACAATGTAGAAATGGAATAAATTATTCTCACTAAAAGTCCAAAAGATTCATAAATGCACTGTATAAGAGGGAAGTTTCCTGTGAATTTATAATTAATTTTTCATTAAAGTCATGATAAAACAGAAAGAGCTTATTACTACATGTAAGACTTTTGATGCATTTTGAAGACTCTCTTCACTTTTAAATGCATAATTAGAGGTGCTAGAAGAGCTATAAGGGTCCTTAGGACTCTTATCGCTCTTCTTCAAAGGCACATGTGATTCGCCTTATGGAAGATAGCTCATAGATTTGAGAACTCAACTTCGCTCTGTTGATGAAATGAGAAAGCCTCTTGAAATCCTTATCTTGCTTCTTCCATTTTCAAAGAGTCTTGAAAGGGCTTTAGCGTTAGGAATTCCTTGAGTTTCGAAGTATTTATCATTTTCCAAGTTACCCAAGTCATTTCCATAAGTTTTTACACTTTTGGCAGTTACTAATCTCTCCTATAGCCTCAACCTCCTTCACTTCCACATGTTTAGATGTTGATGAGAACTCATTAATTGATGAAGAGTAAGTAGGCTTTCATATATTTTGCAGCTTCTCGAATTTTTCAGATTCTGAGTTAACTTGGTTTCCTTGCTGTTTTTTGTAAAGATGTAATCTAGAATATCTTTGACAACTTACTGTCCGTAATTTATGAATCTTTTTCACTAGACTACAATGACTAACCCTGACTTATAGAGGTGATCTATACGGACTCAAATTCGATAGAGTCATCGGTGAAGGAGCCTGGGGAACTGTCTGGCATGCAACCAATCCATCGGGGGATGAGAGCTATGCAGTGAAAGTCATGTCTAAGCATTCATTGTTGAAAGAGAGACAACAAGATCATGCTCATAGGGAGAGGAAGATCTTACCTAAGTTGGACCATCCTTTCATTGTGAGTTTCACAAAGTTCTATCAAGATACTAGATGATTATATTTTGTGCAAGAGTTTATTAATGGAGGTGAATTCCATTTGCTCTTGACCCAGAATCGTTTCCTTGAAGCTCCAGCAGGGCAATTCTATGCAGCTCAAATTGCTACGACTCTTAGTTACATTCATTCCCAAGGTATAGTCTACAGAGACCTGAAGCCTGAGAATATGATGATTGGAAAAGACGGATACCTGAAGATTATTGACTTTGGGCTTAGTAAGAGGATTGAGAAGGAAAAGTACTCCACTGGAAAAACATTAACTATGTGTGGAACTCCTAATTACATTGCACCAGAAATCCTTCAGAGTAAGCCTTATGGCTATGAAGCAGACTGGTGGTCATACGGAGTTGTCCTCTACGAGATCTTCTATGGTCAAATGCCTTTCCAAGGAAATAATCCTTCAGAGCTTTTTAAGAATATACTGAATGGCAAACCCAGATTATCTCCCAGAATCGACAATAGAATCAATAAACTAATTAAAGGACTACTCCGGAAGGATCCAAAGAAGAGATATGGTGCTAAGAAGGTCTTAGAGCACGAATTCTTCAAGAGTATGGATTTTGAAAAGCTACAGAAGAAGAAACTAGAAGTTCCTTTCTTCCCTTCAGTCAAATCAGAAAGCGACACTAAAAACTTTGCTAAGATCAAGGTTCCACGATTTAATATGGACAACTGTCCAGAACTAAGCCCTGAGGAAGACATTTTCCAGAACTGGTAGCTAATTCACTCTAAATTATAATTTTAATCAGCTTGCCTGATCTTAATCGGGGTTTTGGGGTTTTGGGGTTTTGGGGTTTTGGGGTTTTGGGGTTTTGGGG